GCTGCTACATGGGTGCTGGGATGCGAACCCAGGTCTTCTGCAAGAACATTCAGTGTCTTAACCACTGAGTCATCTCTCCAGGCCCGATTTTTTTTTTAATTATATGTCTGTGTATGAGTCTGTACACCTGAGTACAGAGGTCAGGATGTGGAGTCCCCTGGAACTGGAGTGCAGGTAGTTGTGAGACACCCAAAATGGGTGCTGGAAACTGAACCTGGGTTCTCTGCAAGAACAGCACACGTACGCTGAGCCACCTCCCCGGCCCTCCTTTGATAATTTTAAGTTAATGTAACAGAACTAACAAGTGTACAGAGCCGAATGGTCATGTGGTAAATCATACAGGGAAACTTGCTGTAAATGGGGCTCTCTTCCTGAGAAAATGGATTGTGCATATGGAAGTTATAATTCCATATTTAATTTGCATGCAACAAAGCACTGAAGTGGATGGATTTTGATAAAGAGGATAATTATCACTCCAAAATGATCATGGGTATAACCATTTAAAATATTTTAAAGTAAGTAAAGCTTTACACTCCACCAGCAGTAAAGGGGTAGGGGAGGGTGAAAAATCTAAGGAAAGGTGTCCTAAGACAACACTGTGGAATGGTCCTCACAGTGCCACTTTTATCTGCGAGCACAAAATAAGCCTGCAGTTGATTCAGGACAAGGACTACTAGCAGCTCAGAGAATCGCAGTTTCACATGAGATGATGTACCTGCGCTTGCTTACTATGTACAAAAGGATAGTTCTAGAGTCCCTAAAGGAGGGACAGGAGAGGCTACAAAGCTGATGACAAACACCCCGTGAGCTTCAGGCAGTTCGCAGAACAGTCCCATCTGCAGCACCACTAAAGCCGTAGGAGAAACCTTCAGATGACATCTGAGAGAAAAGCTAATGTAAATGTAATTTTGGTTGCCTAAAGCAATTCTTTAAATTTGCAACAGTAAACATTGTAAAATAATTAATGTATAGCAACAAAAATGGTAATGATTTTAAAATAAAACATTTAGGGGCTGGGGAGATGACTCATGGGTGAAGTGCTTTCTGGGCAAGTGTTAGGATTCAAGCCTGATGCCCAGCATCCAAACAGAAGCTAAGGGCACATGCCTGCACTACCAGCACTGGGGAGGCAGAGACAGCAGGATCTCTGAATCACAGAGCTCCAGGTTCTATGACAGATTGTCTCAAAAAATAAAATGGAGAGCAACAGAGGAAGACACCAGACAATGACCTGTGGTCTCCACACGCAAATATACACATATGCCTGAAGATACACACACACACACACACACCGAACACATAGGCACAAAATAACTAACATATTCTTAGGGTACTAGAGAGATAGCTCAGTTGGTGAACTTCCTGCTTTGTACGCACAGAAATTTTAGTTTGATCTCCACATCAAATAGCCTCCCAGAAATCATATTAAAAACCCAGGCACAGTGGCATGGGTTTGTAATCCCAGCTCTCGGAGGCGGTGGATCCCTGGGGTCTGCTGACCAGTGAGACATGCCTACTTGTACAAATGAGAAACACTGTCTTCTAAGGAACAACACCCAAGTTGTTCTCTGTCCTCAATCATACACCACACACACACACACACACACACACACACACACACACACACACACCTTTGAGGAACAGCACTCCAAGGTTATTCCCTGGCCCTGAACACAAACACTCATACACACAACACAAAACCACTTATTCAACAACTTTTTCCTGGTCTTAGGTGTTGGAACTTGGAGGTAGAAATGTAGTAATAATCTAAATAACCAAAGCATTCAAGGAGTTCACAGTCTGATGGAAGATAAAAAATAGCACAGGATAAGAAATATCAAGATCAGCTAATTAGCGAAAGCTAAGGATATGCAGTGGAGAGAGGGAGGGAGGGAGGCAGGGAAGGAGGCAGGGAAGGAGGGAGAAAGGGAGGCAGGGAGGGAAGGAGGGAGGAAGGGAGGGAGGCAGGGAAGAAGGCAGGGAGGGAGGGAGGGAGGCAGGGAGAGAAAGAGATAGAGAGAGAGAATAAAGAATGGCCACTGTAGTCACTGTGTGGGAGAATCTACATGCTTATGTGGGTATCACATGTGATAAAGATGAATCCAGGTCTCCAAAACACAATAAAGAGGAAACAATTAACTGAAGCAAAACGGGCCGAAACTAGGTTTTGTGGCATAAATTGGGACTCTCAGTTCTTTGGAGGTTACAACAGTAGGATCTCCATGAGGGCTGGGAGGGAGGGAGGGAGGGAGGGAGGGATGCCTCTAGTCTTGCAGATGAAAAAGCAGTAACTTCGAGGGTGGGGGGTGGGGCAGGGCATTTAACTGAGTCCAGAGGATCACAGACTGGAAGACTAGAGGAAAGGGCAGGCAGGCCAGGAAAAACTGTGAGCTTGCCAAGAGATCAAGAGAGATGGCCAGACTTGAGAATTTCCAGTGGTTCAGGATGACTGGTCACTGGAGTAGAAGGTAGGCAGTAACCACAGGAGTACACAGGGACCAGAAAAAAAAGTTTAAGCAGATACTTAACAGGTCCAAAGTGGTCACCTGGAAGAGACCAATGAGCTTGACAGGCCCTGACATAATGCCAGACTTAAAGAACTCTGACTACCCAAAGGGGATTAATCAGACCTACACAAACCAAAGGGGGTGGTGGTGGAGCAGCAGTGTGATCACCACATACCTACTGCTCAGGAGAAAGAACGGTTAGCCAGCAAACATCAAGAACCACAGTGCAGGGCCGGAGACTTGGCTCAGTGGTTAAGAGCACTTGGCTGCTCTTGGAGAGGACCAGGGTTCAATTCCCAGCACCCACATGGCAGCTAACAACTGTCCATAACTGAAGTTCCAGGGGAATCCTACGCCCTCTCCTGACCTCTGCAGGCATTGCAGGAAACAGGTACATTTACATGCATGCAGGTAGTACCCTCATACACATAAAATAAAAATGATAAAAGTATATTTTTAAAAGAGTTACAGTGCAATGGACAAGGCAATCTGTACTGTGGAACTGAGCGTGATGTTATTAAACCTCCAAAGTGTATAGCTCACTTGTTCAACAGGAAGTATTTATTAAATCAATTCTATGCGTAGTCCTGTGTGCTAGAGATAGAATGGTAAATACCACAATCAAAAGTCCCTGGCTTGAGGCTGGAGACATGGCTCAGCAGTTAAGAACACTGGTTTGGGGACTAGATAGATGGCTCGGTGGTTAAGAACACTGGTCATTCTTGCAGAAGACCTGGGTTCGATTCCCAGCACCCACATGGCAGCTAATAACTGTCCGTAACTCTAGTCCCAGTGGATCCGACAGCCTTGTCTGACCTCCGCGGGCATTGCATGACACAGGTGCACTTACTTACATGCAGGCAATACACGCATACACATAAAATTAAAATAAATAAAATTAACAAAAAAAAGAACACTGGTTGTTCTTGAGAAAGACCCGGGTTTGAATCCCAGCACCCACATAGCAGCTAACAACTGCCTGTAATGAACATACATCAGGAGAGAACACAGAAAAGAACATGTGATATGTATTGGTATTTGGGTGTTAAAAAATAAGAACATTACAAGGGGGGACACAGCACTCTGCTGTCTGAGGGACAAGGGAAGAAGAGCTGAGAAGAAGGAAATGGCAAACAGCCTTGGGGTGAGAATGTGACTCATCAGTCATTCCTGCTAAAGGGTTGCTCATCTCTAGTTTCTGGGTTTACACCCAAGTTTCCACATCTTCACCCCAAAGGCCAGAAGTTGTTACATGGCAGATTCCCCAGTCAGCTCTCTAGTTTCTGGGTTTACACCCAAGTTTCCACATCTTCACCCCAAAGGCCAGAAGTTGTTACATGGCAGATTCCCCAGTCAGCTCAAGGCCACCCAAAGGAGACATTAATGAAAACCCAGAAGACCTCCTCTACCTTCTGTGGCCTACAGCCACAGTGGGAAAGATGAACCAGGGGAGGAGACGAGGCAGCGGTGAGCAGTGCAACATGGGCAAGAGCAGCAGGAAACAGGCAGCTGGAGCCAGCAGGAGAAAGACGGGAGCGGCTACAAAGAGTACAGAAGACAGTCAGAAAACAGGGGCTAAGTGCATGTGGGGGGCCTCCAGGGCGGAAAGGTTCTCCCTGCAGTTAAAGGTACTTAAGCCCTCCATCACCCCATTAACTTCAGGAAAAGTATGCTTCTTATGTGATGTCATAATTTAAAGATACCAAATAGAATAAATGCAAACAAAGTATGAATAGGAAGAGAAAGAGCCAGGACTGGAGGCTTCCAACCAAGGTGTGCACTCACTAGTCAGTCACGAGCTGTCTTCAGAACATTCTAAAATGCGCACTTCAGATAGCTCATAATCAACGTGGGGGCAGGAGGGTATTTCTGCAACTGTCATTGTAATCTTATTGTAAAACTAGTCAAAGACAGTGAGTTACAAGTCATTCCTGGAACTTACTAATAGCCCAGACCAGCCTCAAATGTACAATCCTAGACTACCTGGGATTACACCTGTAAGCCACCACATCCAACCACAATGCTCTTTTTTAAAAATTATTATTATTATTATTTTGTCTTTTTTTTTTGAGACAGCATCTCCCTGTAGCCCCAGCTGTCCTGGAACTCATTATATAGACCAGGCCGGCCTCAAACTCACAAAGATCAGCCTGCCCCTGCCTCCCAAGTGCTGGGATTAAAGGTGTGCGCCACCACACCTGGCCTTCTTTAATATTTTTAACAAAAAATAACTGAGAAATGAAATCCATATTTATTATCAAACACAAGAAAAATAGTACCAATCAAAGACATAAAATCCTGCCTCAAACATGCATATAATTTGAAGACAAGAAAGGTCTTAGAAGAAACTATACCCAAGAACTTTAGAATTAGTACTTAGTGATTTTTCTTTCCCAAGACAATATTCAACTATGACTCGGCACCCTATGTCACGAAAACACAAGTTGAACTTGTAGAGTCTACTGAATTCATAACCAACTTTGACAGACTCACCCAGTGTTGATGGAAATTATTTCGATCAGTGGATTCTTCCTGATCTTTGGCAAATCAAGCCGTGCTCCCCCCAAGCGCCTGCCACCGTCTTTCTTCTGGCCAAGGAGTCTCACTGAGTGACCTTCAAATCAAACACAAAAATGCATATTAGTATGTCACACAAACCCACTTTCAGGGAATTTCTGTGAAACTGGTTTCAGTGAATACGTTCTTTACTTTTAATTTTTTCTCTTATAAGAAAGAGAGGGGGTGGGTATTCTAGAAAAGATGTAATCATTTCAACCAAGAAATACTACAAAAAAGGGAACAGCTGTGATCAAGGTCTACACTTGAGAAATGCTTTGCTTATGGTATGTGTACACTCAACAGCATGTTTTGAGAGAGAAATACAATGCCTCTAAAATACCTTTTGAAAAGGTATGAATGCTCCCCATCACTGACCAGACAGCGGTACACAAAATGGGCATTAGGCCTGCTTACCAATGTACTGGGTAAAAAAACCACAAAGGTGGGGGCTGGAAACGGGCCAGCAGCTGAGCACGTCCTGCTCTTGCAGGAGTCCCACATCAGACAGCTCACAACTGCAGTAACCCCTGCTCCAGAGAATCCAACGCCCTCTTCTGATTTCCAAAGACACCTGCACTCACGTGTACATAACCAGACACAGACACATAATGAAAAGTAAAGTAAATCTAAGCCTTGTGGGAGCACACGTATTTAATCCCAGCACTTGAGAGGCAGAGGCAGGCAATTTCTGTGAAACTGAGGCCCACCTGGTCTACATAGTGAGGTCCAGGACAGCTGTGGTTGCAGGGAGACCCTTTCTCAAAAAAAATTACATCTTAAAAAAGTAAAAAAACTTGCAAACTTACTTGTATGTCACAAAATGAAATCAGACCACTTCTAAACCCCATTAAAATTTGTCACTTTTAAATTTTTGAATAACTTAAGGCACATAGAAAAGAGTGAACAAAGAGCTCTACCTGCGGGTTCTAATCTCCGTTTTGCCACAGAGCCACCACCTCTTTGCAAACAGACCTGCTGTGCCCAGGCTTTGCCTTGCTCTGCACCATCCACTCTGGACCTACACTGGGATGATCTCAATTTTCTACACCAACATGCTCTTTTTTGAAACTTTGCCAGTGTATGCCTATGACATAAAATTCGTCCCCTGTGAATACACAACTGAAGAGTTTAAATGAATTTCTGGTTTTGGAAGCATGTTAACAACCCAGTCTCAGAACACCTCCCACACTGCTGAACACTCCTTGATTTTGCCCCACCCCAACACTGCTCCTGGGCCAAAGCAGCATACTCTGTTAATCCACCAACCAGAAGTTCATATCTGGATCATTTCCAGCTAACAGTTATCACTACGATACCTGCAGAACATCTGTACATGAAGCTTTGCATGCCCGTGTCCCACTTCTCTTGGACAGACTCCTAAGATGGAAATTGCTGAATCCTGGCAAATCTGATTTCACTTCTTTTAGAAATAACTGTTCTGTAAAGAGGTGACCATTTTGCCACGTTTATCAGATATATGACTTCTCTATATCTGCATTTTTCACTTTCATGATGGTGCCTTTTTGAGAAATGTTATTTTACAGTACAATAAACTTCAAATTATTAACTGCTTCCTTCATGGTACAACGCTTCTGGTGTTAGACCTATGAACTCCGGTTGTTCTAGAGCTACAACGGTACTCTTTCCTGTTTTCCAATCTTTAATTGATCCAGCTTTTATATTAAGGTCACTTTCTATACAGTGAGTCCATCGATTACTCCCCCTCCCCAGATAAACATTCAATTCTCTCAGAGCCTTTTTTCCCTCATTCCTCTCTGTGCTACTGTCATGTGTATTAAAATATACAGCTGTACAAGGCCGAGAGTAGAGTACTATAGTTATCATTTTAAGTAGCAGAGTTTACGTTTGTGTCTCGATGCCATTTCCAACACTTTCCACTGCTCCTTGGACTGCAGCTTCTCCCTCACCTACTTTCTGCCTGACAAATCCTCTTTGGTGTTTTTTATAGGGGAAATCGTTTAGCAACAAACTATCATCCCTGCTTATCAGAACACCTTTTGATTTTTGCTTCAGGTGAATAGAATAGTTTTGCTACATATAGACATCTAAGTTGCCAATTTCCCTGAGCACTGGGGATGCCAGATGCCTTCGGCTATGTTTCTGATCAGATGTCAACCATTAGTCTTACTGTTTATAAGAACACAGTAACCCATTTCTTGTGCTAAAATACCCACTTAGTTTTTCAGTAGTCTGGCGAGGGTATATCCAGGTGTGAATTTCTGTGTTATCCTATGTGGTGTTCACTCAGTTATCCAGATTCATAAAGTGATCCTGTTTGTCAAGGTTTTCATTCTTCTTTTTTCAAACTTTTTTTTGCCCTTTTCTCTACCTGCCCATGACACCTTTGTTAGTGTTCAACAAACATGTCATTCAATAGGTCTCTGGCCAATGTTCTCCAGAGACATGGAAATGACACATACAGAGGTGAAATATGATTTATTAAGGAAACTGGTTCACGAAATTATGGAGACGGAGCAGAACAAACGTCAAGAGCCCAGCAGAAACACGGTGGCAACGCCAGAGTTCCAAAGTCAAGGAACCTGGGATTCAGGATGTCCAAGAACAGGAGAAGAATGTCCAGACTCTGGAGACAGGCAGGGAGAATTTACCCATCCTCCAGCTTTGTTCAGTCTAGGTCCTCAGCTAACTGGAGGGTGCCCACCAGCACTGAGGGTGAAAGATTACAGTTCATTCCCACAAGCCACATGCCATTCTCTCCTGGAAGCATTCTTGCATGCACGTCTGACCATTCCAACAATTTCGATCAAAAGTACAAACACCCAGGTTTCCCTTTCAGCAGAAGAGGGATGGGCTCAAAGACTCCTGAGCAGGGAGTAACAGTGTCTCACTAGATGAACCCTTCGCCTTTTGGCAACCACAGAGTGCTCAGAGCATTCCTCCTCCTTCAGAAATGCTCACGCCTCTGAATCCATCTTCAGAGCTGCTGAGACTTTGTCTTCTACCAAGTCAAAATCAGGAACCAAATCATCCCCATGAGAAACATGCACAGATACTACACTTTTTGGATAAGGTAACATGTGTATTCATTTTTATAATTTTATTCTGTGATTGCACACTCAAGTCACAATTCTTAGTTTTTCTTAATATGATTCCACTTGGATCATGGAAATCCTTGTCTTCTAAATCTAAAATATTTTAATTGTTTATTTAATAACCACATGATTAGAAGAAGCATTTCATTACAACTTTAACATATTCAATAAAAACTTCCAGAGCAAAGGTATATCTCTTTCAAAAGTGGCCATAAATTTTTAGGTTCACGGTTGAATTAATATGGTTATACAATATTGAACTCTGGATAAACCCTGTAAGACATAAAACTGAATGAGATTTTAACCTTTAAAAACAATCTATATTTCACTTTAAAATATACTGTTTCCTACAGAAAGACCTTTTCCCCCCCTTTTTGAAACAGGGTCTCCCTGAAGCTCCAGCTGGCCTGGAACACATTATATAGACCAGGCTGGCCTTGAACTCAGAGCCCCACCAGCCTCTGCCTCCCTGGGACTACAGGCATGCAACACCACGCCCCGCAAAGACTCACTTTTAATGTGACTAACACTGAGATGTTTGCACATGCATCTCTAATCTCTATGTATGTGGTTATTATTAGTCACAGTTGGTTACACTGGGATCCTTGGCACCTGAGTCATCAGGCAGATTCAGTGGTAATGTTTATCACCTCTACTAATTAACATGAAGGAAATTTTTAGGCTTCTTCCTCAAATATAACTCATTTTTTGTTGATTTATTTTGTGTGTATATCATACAAAACATCCAAAACAATTTTATTCATCCATATACCCACTTCTCAAATGGCACCCTCCCACAGCCAACCCCCTACTGGAGCCCATATAATCTGTCATCCCTGTTAATGTCCACTGTGTTGTAGGTGCCCCCAGCCATTCCCCAGTGCTTGTCCATTCACCAAATCTAGTCAGGCTATCTAGAGATCCTTGTTTTAGGAAGATCAGCTGTTCCTCATCTAGCAATCAGTTGTCAATATTCTATTAGATAAGATTGGGGTCTGCTGTTCATTTTTCCGGTTCTATGCTGGGCTACTATCTGGTAGTTCCTTGGGCCACCCTTACCAACAACTCAAAGGAACATATCTCCTGCCTGGCATTGTTTCTTGTTATGTAGCCTTTAGCTATACACATGGACTCTTAAAAAAATTTATACTGACCACTTTAATCTTTGGTTATACTTTCTTTATGGGTGTTTAAGACCATACAGTTGTCCCAGAAAAAACAATTTATTTTTACTCTTAAAGCGTTTGAGGGTCTGTTCCTCAGGGTCACATGGGCTTGGGAGGAGTCCCTGGATCCATTCTTTTACCAGTTCCGCCTATGTGAAGATACATCAAAGGTCCTGATTGACCATGGCTGGCTTCTCTTGGAATCATACAGGAACTGTTTTCTCAGTGTTGACTCTCTTTGTAGACTAAACACTGGTTCAGGTCCATCTGGCAGGGTCTCCACAGCCTCCTTAATCAAGAGGACAGGTGACTCACCACAGGACATTTTGAGAGATGCTCATAGTCCCCTAGAACTTACTCAACCTAGGAGGGAAAGGAGCAAAAACTGTCCTTTATGTCCCCCTGACCAAATAAGTATAGGCCTCAAAGTATGTGTGTTACACATCCAAGAAGGTTAGTTCCACCAGTCTGATACCTTTAATTACTATGAGCCATGTAGATAAAGCTGGGGCAAAGACCAAACGTTCTCAGATAAGCCTTGCCTAAACATATATTCCTTTATCTAGTTCTATGTATAAATTTCCAAAAGGCTGTTAGACTAATATAGAGCCCACTGTTTTTTGTTAAAACTAGCTATGCATTATTTATCTCTCTAATTGTTTAACAATTCCACCGTCATTTCCCCATTTAAGGTGCCCGATTTTTCCTCATTTCTCCGTTAATAATACCCTTCTACGGTTCTACCTCACTTGAGCTCCTTCTTACCCTTTATCCCCTAGGATCCTTGTATAACCTTCCCTCCTCCCGCTTAAAAT